ACCTTGCTGTTTATCCATCCTATATATAATAGTGTGCATCTGCTAATCCCACACTTCAGTAAAAAAAAAAAAAAAAAGTTAAATTAGAAAAAAAAAGTCCCTATCTAGGTTTCAGATCATAAAAGAAAAGAGAACTAGCCTTGGAGACCTGGGTTCACCCCCAGTCCTGTCACTCACTAGCCCAGGGGATTAGCCTGAGGCCACCCACGTGTGAATGGATTTAATGCCAGACAGCAGGCAGTTAAATTACAAAAGGAGCTAACTGCTGGGTGAATGACAGACTTCTGCTACTCTGAGACCTCCAACTATTAGCCAGTGTTGTTACTTGTTCTTAACTTGGCAGATTGAGCCGTTATTTCTGGAAAGAGTTTGTAATTGCAAGTCATGATCCAAATTTCACCAAGGATTATACCCCATGTATTTGATTCCATTTTGTTTCAGGGGCCTTGGTGGCCGGACAGACCACCTGTATTGTAACAGGTAGCCAACGTACCTTAAACATTTGATAAGTAGACGTCAGACAGAGTCAGACACCCCAACTGAAATGAGTTCCTGCTCCCCTTGTTTCGATAAAGGATGGCTTTCTCCACTGCCCACACGTCCTCCTAACCCGCTCTCACGTTCCACCGGCCTCACTAGACCTCCGTGGGGTGAGGACATGTGGGCAGTGGAGAAAGCCATCCTTTATCGAAACAAGACGCCCATGTAGCATCTCTTTCGTGAGGCCGTTCTGGGCAGTTCCAGAGACGGTTCACAGCTTTCTCATCTGTGCTCCCTTTGGCGCCTCATTCATTAATCGCCAAATTTTTGAGCACCAGGCCTGAGGCACCCAGGGAAGGAAGGGGTGGGAGAAATCGGCTCTGTAACTCACGCGTTTCACTCGGGTGGGAGGAACACACACACCCCGCAGGCTTCTTATAATGACGGCGATCGTCATGTAGCTGTGGAGCCCGTCTGTCTCTCTTTTCTCCTGCGATTCAGGAGCTCCCCGACCTGAGCACAGGATGGGATTTAAACGTGGAGCCCAGCACTGAGCACACCGCACCAGCCGGGCTTGGAATGCGTCCACGCAGGACTCCCCCCGCCCGCCCCCCCTCCTCACCCGTGTCCTTTTCCTCCGTCCACAGGACTGGGCGGCACTAAGTACATCTCCTTCGAGGAGCGGCAGTGGCACAACGACTGCTTTAACTGCAAGAAGTGCTCGCTGTCGCTGGTGGGGCGAGGCTTCCTCACGGAGAGGGACGACATCCTGTGCCCTGACTGCGGGAAGGACATCTGAGCCCCTCCGCGACCCCCCTGCAGCCCCCCCAAGCCCCTGCTCACGCTGCACCTGGCTCCACCAGCCACCTGGGGACTTGCCTCCGCGCTGCTCAGCGCTACTCACGTCTGTTTAAACCCTTCATCTACCCTTTGCGCTCATTCTGTAGAGAAGGAGAAAAGCCATGGAAGCCTGAGGCGGGAAGAGGGTTTTGAGTTTTTGTAATCAGGCGAGGCCAATCAAAGTGTAAAAATCCTTTTGAGTGATACCTTTATAAACGCTTTTCTTTCACTGCATACTTAATTTTTAAGTGCAATTAATGTGTCACGAACTTGAACATTTCCAAGCTACGTAAAGTAACGAAGAGTTGGTATTTACAACAGTGTAACTTCCTGTGGTGCGGGGCCAGAAGCAAGATTATATGGCTTACAATAAAGTTACCCAGGGCAAAACCTTTTGCCAGGCGCAGTGTGTGAAGTGGTGATGCAGCATTCAGGTTCTGAGTACGAATAACACTTTACTGCGGGTGCCACTCATCACTCTGGCGGGCTGGGTGGGTGTCGACTGAAACGGCATCCCACCTTTTATTTAAGAGAAAGTCTCGGTTGGAATTTCTTTCTCTTGGAATTCAGTGCTCTGCCTCTGATGCAGTGACACAGGCCCCGCACATGGGCTAACGGCCTCGCAGGCAGCATGGGGTCACTCTTCTGGACAGAGCTCGGGGCCCTCCCATCATCATGGGTCCGGACCTGACAGTGGCCTGCCTTCTCCTCCGTAAGTGGAGGGGTGCAGAGGCACACAGGCACCTCGAGGCCGGAAATGACATCTTGGTCGCCCGTGTAGTTATCAACACCCGGGCAACTGAGGGCATCCTGGGAGACTTCAGCGAGTGTTTCTGAAAAGAAAGACAGTAAAGAGAGAGAGAATCGCTGCCATCAGAATAACACTCTTTTCCGGTAAACCTCTAAAAACGGTTCGCTACTCACTTGACCCAGAAAACCCCATAAAATTGTGCAAATCAAGAGGTTCAAATCTTCGTGTTCACTTTAAGAACACGCGTGAAACCGCCCAGGCCGTTAAGGGTACGCATATCCAAAAAGCCACCAAAATATCCGAAGGATGTCACTTGACAGAAGCAGCGTGTGCCATTCCGTCGTTAGAATGGTGGAGTTGGTAGGTGTGCCCAGGCCAAACGGTGGGGCTGGATGCAAGGTCGGTGGCCCAAAAAGAGTGCTGAATTCTTACTGCACTTGCTCAAAAATGCAGAAAGGAATGCTGAACCTAAGGGCTTGGATGTAGATTCTCTGGTCACTGAGCACGTCCAGGTGAACAAAGCCCCCAAGATGTGGCGCAGGACTTCCAGAGCTCACGGTGGGCTCAACCCATACATGAGCTCTCCCTGCCACAGTGGATGAGCCTCACTGAAAAAGGGCAGATTTTCCCTAAAGCAGAAGAGGCGGCTGCACAGGAGAAAAAGGTATCCCAGAAGAAACTGAAGTAACAAAAGCGTATGGCCCAGGAATAAATGCCGTAAGAAACAAATGCAAATAAAAGTAAAAAAAAGATTAACACTCAGAGCCCCTAGCCTGGCAGCAGTCTGTAAACTCGTCTGGGAAAGAGCAGTTTACAGCTGGGAAGCACTGAGCCAATTTATGAGGTAGGGCATTGCATGCTTCTCTGTTTATAGTAACAGTTGTGACTTTCTGTCTTCAGTTTTCTAAGACAATGCAATATGATAAAATGATAAGCTCTGCAACAGAAAAATCTGGTAGAAATCAAGTCCCATCTGTGCAGAGCATGCGTGAAGTCAGTTTCTTGACCTGAGCACTGGTCAGTGCGGGAAAGCCTTGATCATGGCTGAGACAGGCCTCTGGATGGACAGTCAGCTGGAGGCTTTGCTTAAAACGAATAATGCCCACCATCCCTTGTGAGTTGTTTTGCCAGCTTCTTCTACTTTATGATACAAAAGTAAAAGCATTCTTGCAGATGTGCTTTTTAAAATAAAAATGTTTTTAGAACAGTAAAAGCTTTCTAAATCTTGTGATGGAACATCTTACCTGCCCCTCATGACAGCCACGGGCACACTAGACAGCCAGCGTTAAATTATCCAGCCTTAAATTAACGGTTAGGAGAGTTCCACGTCTAGTAAGTAGCTCCTATTGGAATAATCTTCCCACAAGTTAGAACCACTCTGGACAGAATATTTTTAAAAATTTGAGAACACTGGAGCATGACCCACAGCAGGAGGACTCTGGAGGGGCGTGGGCCCTGGAAGAAGAGGACAACCGGTAGGTTTCCCATTCTTATGGCTTTTAGGTCAGGGCAGGCCCCACAGGGCAGCTACAGCTCTGTTAGAAAACCTGCAGCCTCACCAGCTTGAAGAACCAGAGGCCAGAGTTTGGGACCAACAGCCTCTGGAAAGTGAGATGGAAAATTCTAGAAAAGAGAGCCCCAAGTTATGTGTGTGAAATCCCTACAAATTGCTGGCTGAAGCACCAGCACCCAAACAGCCCAGCCAAGCCTCAAAGAACAGACTTCTTTGAGGAGGAACTTCTGGATGGTGGTGTGCACCATCGTCAGCCCAGGTCAGCTGGGCTCAGCTGACCCTCTGCCCAGTGGAACAACCCTTTAGCTAGGGAAACTGTATACAAACTAAATAACGTAAAGTCTCTGAAAATGTTCCTAGAGGCATACAGCACATGGAGAAACATTTATTCAGGAAACTCGACTGCATGTTAACGAGACCAGTGAAGTCTGTGGCATTTGAGCCCCAGCTGATCCCACCCTACCCCCACTCCCCAGTGTCACGTGACAGAAGCCCTGCTCCAGGTTGGTGCTGCCCGGAAGGGAAGGGCTCCTATGGTCGAGGGCTGTGCCCCAGGGGTGATAGGCTGAGAATTCCGGGGCTCCAACCTCTCATGCGGTGGAGGTTCCACATCCAGAGGGGCAGTCTGAGAAGACCAGAGGCTACCAGTCCCCCCACCCTGACACCTCCCCAGCACCTACCTGGGAGAAGGAGTGTTAACTCTAGGAGAAGCCAACACTGTCCAGCCCCAGGTGGGAGGCAGGCTCTGTGAACTGGCAGCTCTGTGAACCTCTGCAGGAGGGCACTATTTCGTACCAAGAATGGAGAAATCTGCCGGAGGGGACTGTCAAAAACAACAGAGATCTTGGTGGCGAGCAGTCAAGAGGGGGCTGGTGGCTCCATGATACGAACAGCAAAAAGCCAAATGGCAGGCAGTTCTGAAGTTTAACTGAAAGAATTGGGGAAAGAGCTGACAAGAGCTGTCCTGGGCTCCCACTTAGTCCAGGAGACTGTGGGCATGGACTGGTCTGCACCCACCCACTCAAGAGCAGTCAGAGTGGGACGTGAACAGACTTGAAAGCATTCTCCAAGCTACACGAGCTCCTCAGCAAAGAGCAGAGGTCTTAACTAGCTCAAGGTGCTTACACAGATCCTCCAACCAAACACTGCTGAACGTGTGTTATAAACACGTTCAAAGAGGGACTTCCCTGATGGCACAGTGGTTAAGAATCCGCCTGCTGATGCAGGGGACACAGGTTCGATCCCTGGTCCAGGAAGATCCCACATGCTGCAGAGTAACTAATCCTGTGTGCCACAACTACTGAGCCTGTGCTCTAGAGCCCACGAGCCACAACTACTGAGCCCTCGTGCCACAACTACGGAAGCCCGCGTGCCTAGAGCCTGTGCTCCACAACAAGAGAAGCCACCACAATGAGAAGCCTGGGCACCGCAATGAAGAGTAGCCCCTGCTCGCCGCAACTGGAGAAAGCCCTTGCACAGCAATGAAGACCCATCGCAGACGAAAAACCAAAAAAACCCAAAAAAACATGCTCAAAGAACTAAAGGAAACCACATTTACAGAATTGAAGGAATGTGCGTGAGAACACTCACTCATCAGACAGGGAATAACCAAAAAGGAATAAACATGATAAAAAAGAATCAAGTGGAGGGCTTCCCTGGTGGCACAGTGGTTGAGAGTCTGCCTGCCGATGCAGGGGACACGGGTTCACGCCCCGGTCCGGGAAGATCCCACATGCCGTGGAGCGGCTGGGCCCGTGAGCCATGGCCGCTGAGCCTGCGCGTCCGGAGCCTGTGCTCCGCAACGGGAGAGGCCACAGCAGCGAGAGGCCCGTGTACCGCAAAAAAAAAAAAAAAAAAAAAAAAAAGAATCAAGTGGAAATTCTGTAGTGGAAAAGTACATTAGCCAGAATGAAGAAATTCACTAGAGGGGTCAATAGTAGATTTGAGATGGGAGAAGATAAAAAAATCAGTGAACTTCAAGATGGATCAACAAAGATTATGAAACTGAAAAACAGAGAAGAATAAAGGAAAATGAACAGAGAAATGTGGACATCACTAAATGAACCAACATATGCATAATGGGAACACCAGGGAGAAGAGAGAAAAGGGACAGAAAAAATATTTAAGAATTAATGGCCAGAAACTTCCCCCCAGTTCAATTAAAAATATTCATCTAAAAATACACATCCAGGACTTCCCTGGTGGTCCAGTGGTTGGGACTCTGCACTTCCACTGCAGGGGGCACAGGTCTGATCCCTGGTTGGGGAACTAAGATCCGGCACGCTGTAAGATCCCTGGTTGGGGAACAGCCAAAAAAATAAAATAAAAACACATCCAAGAAGCATGACAAACTCAAAGTAGGAAAAATGCAAAGAGATCCACACCCAGACACATCACAGTCTAAATGTTGAAAGCCAAAGATAAAAGGAAAAATCTTGAAAGTGAACCAAGGTTTGAGCTGTCACACCCACCTCTGGTCCCACCACACACAAAACTTGCCTCTGCCTACCCCGCACCCACCCACCTACCCTCTATCAGTGGAATCACTGCAATGCACAATATTTCTGACTGGCTCTAAAAGAATACAGTTCTTTGATAATCCTTTACATTAAGCAAGACTTTTATCAAATTAGAAGAAACGTTCTGTGTATCGTTGGCCCACGGGCTAAATCCTGCCTGCCACCTGTTTTCTTAAAAATTTACACTGGAACACAGCCATGGCCATTCATCTATGTACTGCATGGCCCACAAGGCCTAAAATTTTTACTATCTGACCCTTTACAGAAAGTTTGCCAACCTTGCTCTGTATCTCGATCTGGACAGTGTTTTTTTATATACATATCTTCATAAATATATATGTAGATTCACTGAGCTGTATAAGACTTTTAAAAGTCATAGTATTTTATGATATCTCAATCAAAATAAAAAAAAATTTAAACATGTTACACTTTTTACAGTTTCTGTACTTAAGTCATTTTTTTTTTTTTTTGGCAGTACGCAGCCTCTCACTGTTGTGGCCTCTCCCGTTGCGGAGCACAAGCTCCGGACACGCAGGCTCAGCGGCCATGGCTCACGGGCCCAGCCGCTCCGCGGCACGTGGGATCTTCCCCGACCGGGGCACGAACCCGTGTCCCCTGCATCGGCAGGTGGACTCTCAACCACTGCGCCACCAGGGAAGCTCTATTAGCCATATTTTTTAAATGAATATTTTAATTCAAATATGCTAAAACAAAAACAAAAACTTAGATAATTTTACTAGATAAAACAATGTTTAGGGCTATTATATATACTTATTGAACTAGTCTTATTTCAGTCTTCTGATTAAATTGAACGCTTGGTTAAGTCTGAACACAGTTAACAAAGAGCTTCCAATTGCTCTTAGAATCAAATCCGAAGTCCTTACACGGCCCGTTTAAGTCCTGTGTAACCTGGCTCCTGCCCCCCTGCCTTGGGGTCATTTCATACTAGCGTCCCCAGTCTCTCACTGATCCTAGCCACACCAGCCTTTCTGCCGTGAAATCCTGTCCAGCCTCAGGGCTCCACTCTGCCCCTGGCTGGCATCTGAGCTACCCAGGGCTAGGAGCAAAGCACCCCAACACCTAGTGGCTTTGCACACCCCTCACTCTGCTCCCTCATGGCTCCGGGTCAGCTGCCTGGGCTGGTCTCACCTGGCAGCAAGTGGGGAAGGGTGACAAGCAGTCCCAGGTCTGGGGGTTAGTGCTGGCTGCTGGCTGGGACACGTTTCTCCCACAGCCTTTTCCAACGGCTGCTGCAGGGCTCCACGAGTGAGAAGAACCAGTTTGATCAACACAAACTACCAGGCCAGGCCACACCCAGCAGGGGACACGGACTCCGCCTTCGACGGGAGGAGCAACAAAGACCATGCAGCCCTTTAAAACCCACCGCCAACAGGAAGCTCTTCCTGAAAGCTTTCCAAAACCGCCTTCCCTAAAGCATCGTCTCTTCTCGGAGGCCCTCCCTAACCACTCCTCCCCCTCCCCCCATCCCTCAACTGTTTCATGACTGATTTTCTTCCTGTCATTCACTGAGCAGGAACTTACTAATGCACGTCTTTAACTCTCCTGCCACAGTAGGGAAGACAACCGAGTTCAGCGCCACAGCACAGAGCACGTGAGCCAGCAAAGGGCACTTTAGTAAAAAACGATCTAAATGGAAATGAGATTTTTTCGTCTCTTCTGTCCAGACAAAAAATGAAAGATCTACTTTTTTTTTTTTTTTTTTTTTTTTTTTTTTTGCGTTATGCGGGTCTCTCACTGTTGCGGCCTCTCCCATTGCGGAGCACAGGCTCCGGACGCGCAGGCTCAGCGGCCATGGCTCACGGGCCTAGCCGCTCCGCGGCATGTGGGATCTTCCTGGACCAGGGCATGAACCCGTGTCCCCTGCATCGGCAGGCGGACTCTCAACCACTGCGCCACCAGGGAAGCCAGAAAGGTCTACTTTTAAGTTCAAGGTATTAAAGTTACCTGAGGCTTTTCCAAGTTAATTAGTTAATTTAGAGCTTCAGTCTCCAACTGTAAGATACCAGTAAAAATATTAACTTTTTCAAGATCACTCCCAACACAAATAACCCCTAGACCGAATCTCTGGTCAGTGCCCCCCGGGTAGGAAAGCTTCCACAGGACAGGTCCGGGGCACTGTGTCTCCATCCCACGAAGCGCAGTGGCCGCCAGCGAGTCAGCCGCGCAGGAGGCCTCCCGTACAGCAGGCTGCCCTGGCGACCCAGCACCTCCCGCAGGCCCAAGACGTGGCTGGACTATTGGCACCAGGGCTGAGCCCAACTGACCTGGGCACAGAAGGCTGTACTATAAAGAATAAACAACACTTTTTGACATAGTTTAGTGAAATGGAAAGAGATCAAATCACTACAGAGTGTGTTTCCATTTTATTTTTTTGTGAATGAGAAACCTACTCAATAATTTCATTCCTTTTATTTAAATAAGGATAAGGCTCCTTAAAAGACTTTTTACATACAAAAATGTACATTACAAGGTTAACCTTTCTGTACCGAATTACAAAACCTGCACAGGCATTTAATGAAAAGAGCACAACACTTAAAAACGCTTTGACGGTTCTGGAGCCTCAGGACTACTGAGGCCCCACAGTAGTAAACAAAGGAAGCTCTTACATACGATTTAACCCACTGGCAGTTTCACTTCATGTAAGCTTTTAACAGGTTGTTGCTATTAAACGAGTCTCTAGATCAGTTTTAGAATCACCTCTCAAAACTTAAGGTAACCAAAACACTCTTTCAAACAATAACTGCAATCATGAAGAATTTTAATACTAGCAGAAATATCACAGCCTCCCAGCAGTAGTTGAGCCAGCCTTGCAGAGTGCCTGGCAGCCGCCCAGATCAATGAGTGGGCCCTGGTAAACCACCCCGCCTCCAGAGCCACTGCGGCAATTCAGCGCCCGGTGCCGCAGGGCCTTGAGACTCGCAGACCCCCGCAGCAGCGTCTGTGGTCCTCAAGAAGGATGGCGCTCGCCTAGCCCCGGCCCCAGCGATAAGCGGGCCGAGCAATACAACTTGTAAACCTAAGCCTGGAGCTCAGGGTCTACAGGGTGAAGGAGAAGGAGCAGAGAAAGTGAACTGTGGGGGAGGGGACAGTAAGAGAAAGGAAAACAGGGAACAAAGAGGGGGAGGAAGAAAAGAATGGGACCAGCTGCTAAGGGCAGGAAGTGGACACATGCCTATTCCCTGGGAGCCACCTGACTCGACCGACTGCCCTTCACTGACCCCAGGAAGGACTCCAAGTCACCAGATGAGCCCACGCTAGGGAGCGAGGGGTGGTCCAGGTGTGCGCCGTTCACACCAAGGCCGTGGAAGCTCTAAAGCCCACAAAGCACCACCTCGGATCCCTACCATGGCCCATGGAGCTGTGTCCGCGCACCGCGAGGAGGCCTAGCGCTCGGATGTCAGTGTACGTGACACACAGCACAGGGTTGAGGCTTCTCCACTTTTCAAACTCAAAATAGCTCAATAATATGCTGCTATATGAGCACTGATTCTGAATGTTCAAAATATAAACTTCAATTTGAAGCAACAATGTTACACAGTTCAGCTGTTATTACCAACCTACTCTGTAAGTTAAATATACAAATTAAAACTTAATTTTATTGAGTAACTAAAAACAAGTTTCCACTGACTTAAAACTGTCAAATGGCTAAATCTCTCTTAACTAAGAGAGAAATGCAGATGGAAGCAGAAGAGACAACAGAATGTAGAATATAATTTGTCATTCTACCCTGAAATCTGCACTTTTAAAATCTCCCTTAACACACAGCTGTGTATAGGATTATGGCTGTCCTTCAACAATATTCCAAATATCAGCCCTGCAGACAACCAAACGTTTAACAATCTAGCATAACGTTAACAACTTACGCCACACTCAGTGTCTTTCATTCTCGTCTGACCGGATGGACTTAGTCTGGATAAAGGCAGGAAGGCTAAGAACCGTAGGGTTAAAGTTTTAGTGCAGTACTTACCTGCAAGGCTGGATTAATTTTTTGTAAGGCTATTCAACAGCTGAACTAAAGTGCTTGTTTTAACATATCAAAAAAGGGATGGATTGCTCTAAAAAGTGTTGAAAGGCAAACCCCATTCGGAGATCAGTCGTACAAGGGAAGAGTATAAAGTGCCCTTGGCCTTGGTTAGAAATACACAGCAGCAAGTGGACACCAGAGCTCGTGAACCTGACTTCTGCCACACAACTGGAGTGACACCAATTAACACCGACGAAACCTCAGCAGTGCCTCCGCGGGTGCCAGGCCCTGCCCCCACGCTGCTCTCTCGTGACCTCCAACTCAGCAGACCCCCTTCTGCAGACTGCACACGCGCCGAGTTCCCCTCACTGCCAGGCTTCCTGGATTCTCAGGTTCTAGAATTCTACCCACCCTTCCTATCCTGTAAGCTTTCTGCCATCAGGTACCACCTCTAAAGTGATTACTTCCCCTGAAGAGTCTGAAGTCGGCCTCATTTGGAAAAGATTAAGCTCCCAGGAGAGAGTGATACCGGAGCTGAGAGGGAGGTCAGAGCCACCGCGAGAAGAGGGGCAGGGCTGCCACATGACAGGAGCGTCCAAGGGCTGGGCCGGTCTACTCACAGAAGTCAATTCACAATTAGGGGGAAGGAGCGATAGCAAGCACTGGTTCCCCTTTCGATCTTTAGGGAAAGAGGCAACATGAGCACTTAAAGAACAGCAATTTCATCTGTATATTCTGAACAGCTTTCCACGGGGAACCTTGAGGAGGAGTCTGGCAGAATTCACTAGAATATTGCAATGAATTGTCATTTTCTTTTGCTTGGGAAAAGAAATGAAAACTGTGAACTCCTAAAATATCCGAGTTTAAAAAACCTCAAATTTCCCCAAAGACCAAAAGAGACTAATGCGAATAACTCCTAAAGTTCATCAAATGCTTTACACCAGACTTGCGGCTGACTGAGTGGGGCCAATATAAAGGACTTTTACTGAATCACTTGTTTAAAAAGAAATTCTTTCCTAATTGGAGCATGAAAGGCAAGGTTTCTTCCCCCCAAAGGAAGGAAAAGGAGGGAAAAAGGAAAGGAAAGGACTTTATTTCTTTGAACCTAATTTAAACCTCTTAAGAAAATTCCACAATAATCAGGATCTCTGTAAATACTGTCAGTAAATGTGAACTTGTTTGAAAAACTACAGTTACAGTTATATTTACGTTTTTGGAAACTTTCCTTCACGGCCATGTAACATGCTGTATCTTCCTCTTTGCTTCTGGGGGCTTCAGGTTATTCTGAAAAGACATGAGAAGTCAGTTTACACTTGCAGAAATGTCAGAGAATACCCAAAAGGCACATTTTAAACCAAGCTTGACCACTGAGACAGAAACGGTGGGGCACTGCTGCCATCTGGTGGGGAAGGCGAGGAAATAAGGCGAGCCCCGGGCTCCCGTTTTGCCAGCTGTGGTTCTCAGATGTTTATCCTGCAGACTCACCCACGGTAAGGCTGACCAACTAACCAACATGCCCAGGCCTGGGCCCTATCGCAGAACCGACTCAGTCAGCAGCCACGGGAGGGGGCTGGGACGGGGCTCCAGCTCTGGCCAGGTTTTCTGGAAGCCCCTCGAGGTGACCTCAGGCACATGCGGAGTTGAGAACCACTGACTGCTCCCAACCTGTTTCCTCCCTGCCGAGCCCATCTCCTCCCAACCTCACAATCTAAGACCTTAATACAAGATTTAAAAGAGAAAGAAATCACACCTCTGAAACAGTAAAAGCTTTCTGGGTAGAAAAATGCTTTCCAAGAGACTGGGGAAAAACTCCTCGAAGCTCACTCTTATCCCAATATTCACGGTCTGGACCGCTCGTCCCGCTCGCCCCACAGGAGTGACGGGGTGAGGGCAGAGGCAGCACGGTGCCGTCAGGAGTGCGTCCGCTGAGGCCACACAGACCTCGATTCAAACTGCAGGCCGGCCACTTACTGACTCTGGAACCTGGACAAGGTCATTTAGATTATTTAAGCTTCTTTGCCCTCATCTGTGAAAGGGGAAAAGCTACTGCACCTCCTTCACAGGGCTGCTGGAAGGAGTCAGTGAAGAACTAACACGAGAACTTTGGGCGGCTCAGATACAGAGCAGCTTTCTTTTTCCAGGGTCTGCTATCTTAGGTTTTTTTTTTTTTTAATTAATTAATTAATTTAATTTTTGGCTGCGTTGGGTCTTTGTTGCTGTGCGCGGGCTTTCCCTAGTTGCAGCGAGCGGGGGCTACTCTTCGTTGCAGTGCGCAGGCTTCTCACTGCGGTGGCTTCTCTTGTTGCGGAGCACGGGCTCTAGGCACAGGGGCTTCAGTAGTTAATGCTTGCAGGCTCTAGAGCACAGGCTCAGTAGTTGTGGCGCACGGGCTTTGTTGCTCCACAGCATGTGGGATCTTCCTGGACCAGGGCTTAAACCCATGTCCCCTGCATTGGCAGGCGGATTCTTAACCACTGCGCCACCAGGGAAGCCCCAGGTCTGCTATTTTAGAAGGTCTGAACCACTCAGAGTTTTGCTCCCTTTGACACACAACTTGAAGATGATAATAAAGCCAAAGTATACTTACAGGAATGCTATGGACGGAATGTTTGTGTCCCCTCAGAATTGTGTTGAAACCTAATCCCCCATGTGATGGTACCTGGAGGCGGGGCCTTTGGGAGGTGCTTATGTCATGAGGGTGGAGCCTCATGAAGGGGTTTAGTGCCCCGATAAGGGACCCCAGGGAGCTCCCCTGCCCCTTCTGCCATGTGAGGACACAGTGAAAAGCAGCTGACTCTGAACCAGGAAGTGGGCCCTCACCAGACACTGAATCTGCCAGCGCCTTGATTTTGGACTTCCAGCCTCCAGAACTGTAGGAAATAAGTGTTTATTGTTTGAGCCACCAGTCAATGGTATTTTTTGTTATACCAGCCTGAATGAACTAAAATAAGGAATAAAAGCTATAAAACTGCTGGATGTTTAAAAGTAAAATCACTTTTCTGAGAAGACTATGGGAAGATCAAATATATATAGATATGTAAAATCTCATAATTAAACTCAAAATAAACCATGGTAACTACAGAAATCTGCCGTACGAAATCCAAGCATCCAAATGCTAAGTCTAGTAGAGCGTAACAGAGGAGACTCCAGCCTTCTAAAGACAGGTACGTGTGAGGGGTAGAGGAGGCAAGGGGTAACTCCTAGAGATTCTGGTGTGATTTTACGGTAAGTGCAAAACAGACTTAAGGTCAAGCTCTAAAATGCTACTTAATAAATGTGTGACCCTGGGCAACTGAGTTAACGTTCTAAGCCCTGCTAACAAAGGACTATTTCTCTCTTTTAGTTCCAAGATAGTTAAAGGATCTAAGTGAAGAAGATCTAGGAAAAGGGCCTAAGAGACACTCTCTTTACACATTTTAAGCAGAAATAAACTGAGTGCACTTTAAGAAACGTTAGCTTATCATCATGGATTCCAGGGCTCAAACACACAAGAAATGAGTTGCACAAGTGAGCCGGATCACTGCCGGGCTGCAGAACGATTACACGTCCTGTCCACACTCACCGCGGCCTCGGCCTCGGCCTCCTCCCTGGGAGCGGCGCGCTTTAACTTCACTGGAGTACTGCCTACAGGCGACAAAGGCGGCGACTTCACAGGGCCGGAAGGACTTTTCCTATGCGTTAAGTCATGGTTCTGTTTAGTGTCATTATTACTGTGTTCCATTCTATTGTTCGTAGGCAAATTGGAAGACAAAATTAGGGGTGAAACACCTGAAGAGGAATCTGACAATTTTCGAAAGGCATTACTGGTAGCGCCGGCCTGAGGCCGGGACTTGAGTCGGTCATTGTCTCCGTTCTCAGTCTTCTTCACTTTTATGCTTGTACTTGTTGAACTCCCATCAAACACGATGAGGGGTCTTTTCCGAAACCCGTCTGCAGTGCTACTCCTGAAATTGGAGAGATGCGTCATGAAAAATACCCTCTGGACAGCAAACCAGTTCCCTGGGACTCAAAGGTAAAACAATGACCGAAAAAGATTTATTGATAAGACTAATCTATTCTAAGTAGGACTACTGGAAATAAGGCTACAAGAAATGCAGTTTTCTATGATTAGTTTAAGTGAAATGATAATTTTCCAGTGCTTTTAAGTTTAAAATATTTATTGACAAAAATTTAAAGTTACCTTTCATGTGTACATAGTTATTTTTAAAGCATCAATCCACCAACTAACCCCAAAACTTAAAACAGGATTTCCTAGTGACAAAAAAATTTTTTTAATTTTTAAAAATCACCATCCTATTGATAGGGTTATCTTACCCATGTATCAATGATTATTTAGAAAGGAAACAGATTATAAAACTATACTAAACTACCATAATGGCAGTCTACAAACAATGGGACAGGACATCCTACTCCATTCATTAAAGGTCTTTAAAGCCACGGCATCTTCTAAACTAACTGTAACTGTAACATTTGTATAATTTTAAGTTTATAACTTGGCAGGTCTTCACATTTAGCTTCCGAAAACCTAACTTCCACTCTTAATCATAAAGGTTAATAATAAAAGCATTCATTTGTTCATTATTAATTATACCTCAAATGAAACATAGATCTGTTTATTTAAAATAAACATGGTAAAAGAACTTGAGTCGTCAGGAAGAGCACTTCAGCTCTGCTGCTCAGGGGCCAGCAGCTTCAGCACCATCTCAGAGCTCAAAAGAAACGCAGCACCTGGGCTGTGACCTGCACCGATGCAGAATCTGCATTTTACCCAGATCCTAGGTGACTGGCCAGACTCACCAATTCTTAGGTCACCAGTGAACACGATTTGGTAGAAGATGAAAAACAAGCTCAATGTCCACCCACTGCAACCTCAGAGGGGAACAGACAACAGGACTGAGGGCAGGACACTCCAGCTGGGGAGAGGCTGGCCTAAGACTCAGGAGCACGCTGAAGTTGGAGAAGCGCTGCACCGAGAGCCGGGCCTGCGTGGTGTGCCCTGGGGGACACCGTAGCACCTCTGGAGCTCAGCTCCTCCGGGAAAAGCACAAGCAATTCAAAAAGGCCTGATGGTCTCTTAGATCCTTCCAGCTTTAATGCTCTGATTTGAGAGTCAAACTGTGATGTTTACAAACAGTCAAAGACCCTTTCCAAAATGATACAGAGGAATTAAGAGGGATTACCATAGGAAGTAAAACATAACAGTATTGAAAGCTTTGCTTACGACCATGTGCCTGAATGTGCAGGTCAAGAAGAAAATACTTTCTTATTAAGAGTCACCAAAAATAAACTAAAGGCGTACACGGCATAATTCACAGGTTTACAACAGTTAACACTAATGCACGGCCTGTAACCACGGAGTTAAAATGATGCTCACCCTGAACTGAATGTGTTCCTGAGCAACAGTGACACTGCACACACATCTCTTCTCCAAAAGACTGTACACAGATGAGCACACGTTACGTTCTTCAACTATTCTCAGACTTGGGGAACAATCTCCCTATCAGTCATGAATTTTTCTTTGTACCTAGAGATTAAAGCCACTAACTCAGAGCCCGCGCTCTCCTCACCCAGCCCTCTCACTCCATCTTCCCCCACTTTCTCTAGTGCACTGCCTGTGACAGTAAGGCTCTAAAAAGAAATTCAGCAAATAATCAATAGCACCCACTTGTGATAAACAGACACAAGAAAAGAAGTAATTAGCCCATTTAGGGATCTTAGGATACTTGGTCCTCACTAACCAGCTACACTGATTAGTTAAATGTAACTTTCTTTATAAAAGGAAATTCATTTGCTTGGGGTTTTATGAAAAATTTTCTGGAATTTAAAACTTTAAAATAGTGTACCTGAAGCTATACGACCATCTCTTCATTTCTATTTTATTCAAAGACCTCAGAGTCTTATCTGACTCCACTTTTTTCTGACAATTCAACAAATCTTATTGGCTCTGCCTCCAAAACACATCCAGACCCCAACCGCTTCTTACCAAGTCCACTACTTCAGTCAAAGTCACTGCCATCGGCTGCTAGGATTACAGCACAACCCCTTAAGTGCTTTCCCTACTCCCCTCCCGCAAGCTTAAATCATTTCTCAGTGCAGCAGCCAGAGTAACCCTCTTAAAATGTACATCAGACGGTGTCATCAGTCTGCTCAAAATCCTCCGATGGCTCTCATCTCAGAGCAAAGCCAAGGTTCTTACAACGACTGACCGCCTCCTGCACTCACCCCTGTGCACCTCCTTCCCTGCTCTGCCCCTGATTCTCCCTGCCCAGCCTGATGGCCTCTGGGCTGTTCCTGGCACATCGTGTGGACACACTCCTGACCAGGTTCTCAGGTTCGGCCTGGGACGCTGGCTTGCCCTCTACTTTCTACAGGTCTCTCTACTGAAATGTCACTTTTCAGTGAAGTTGTTCCTGGCCACTTTACGTAAAATTGTCATCCCCTTCCCTGTTTCGCTTTTCCCTTAGCATTTACTACAATGTAGCATACCTTGTATTTTACTTAACTTTTTTATTGTGTTTCTCCCAATTAAAATATGAGCAAGGAATTCTGTCAGTTTTATTCAGGCTACAGCACAGTACCTGGTACTCAATAAACAGTCGCTGAGTCAATATTGTTTACCTAAGTTTATCTGGGGAAAAAAGAAAAGCAAAATTGTTTAGTCATATAAGATAAGACCTTTTCGTTCGGAAAAGTACCTTTTCGTCTCATTTTTTATCTCATGTTGTTCTCTTTTCTTTTCCATCACCTTCCCCCATCTATTCTTTGGCAAATCTCTCTGAGGCAGTGGTATTGCATGCTGAACATAAAGATCGGTCAGACTGTCTTTGTTTACTCTCATGTCATTTTCAACAGTTATGTTCTTCTGTAAAAAAAGGAAACAAAAGTTAATTTCAAAACAACATCTCATTTTAATAACTAACCAACTGCCCACCTAACAGGGTAAAACACGACTGCTTAAATTACAAGTATAAAACCATTTTCACGTTTAGACATATGCCTAACATTCTATATGATACTGCAAGAAACAGTATTACAGAGACACTAAGCTCTTCAAATTTTTGGTTCAGCTTCATCTTAAAGACAGCGGTCATATGTCCTCAGTGCGACAAGGACAGCTGTCCACACTGCTCAGCCCACACAGGAGGCATAAAGACCATTTCCAGTAGCAGCATCTTAATCTATGAACAAAACTGAAAATGAGGGACTTTCTGGAGAGACCAGACAAAAGAAAACAAACAATGATAACAATCACTACATCCTGTCAAAAAGTTATCTAGAGTGTTACTATCACGATCAGATTAGCGGGCTGGAGGTCTCACCCTGTGTATTATTCCCCATGTTTCCCTAATAGTGCTTCTTAAACTGAAGCTCACCACCCAGGCTTCAATGGCTCTATGGATGGAAGCTGCATTCCCCTTCCTGATGATGGTCCTGATAACGGCACACACTAGAACAAGCGGCCCCTCATGTCTGTACCAGTCCTTTCAATGGCTCCCAGTCATCGTCCAGCTATCCCTCTCTGCGTCACCTCACGTTCCGATTTATTCTCAACAGAAAACATAAAGCAGACGCATAGGAGCAGTTACGGATAGAGTGGGATTTAGGAAGGAAAATAAGGATGGAAAGGAGATTGTGGGCTCAACAATTCAGAAAGGCTTGGAAACGTTTGTGTTTAGAACTGACAAAACAAATCCAATCTGCCCTCTGATAAATTGATCCCCTTTCCTTTTGTTCTTCAAAATTTTAAAGCACAAATTTTACTTCTTTTATCTCTCATACTGGACCATTCTTTATTATCAATTGTCACCTGTACTCACTCAGAAGAACGGGGAAACGCTAGGGCTTCTCTTGGACAACATTCCTACAGAATCCATAAACACCTTAGTTAGGGAAGCACTGCCCCAGGACAGTGATTCTCAAACTGTGGTCTCTGGACCAGCAGCAAGAACTCGTTAAAAATGGCAATTTCCAGGCCACACCCCAAACTACTGAATCTGAAACTCTGGATATGGAGCCCAGCAGTCTGTGCTTTCACAAGCTCCGGGGTGACTGTGACCTACCTAAAAAGTTTGAGAACCACAGGTAAGAAAGGTAACTGACATCCCTAAAATAATCTACTTAGCAGGGGAGCTTGAGGAAACCAGAGGAAGAGTACCGAGGGGGGAAAAAAACACAAGGAAAACAACAAAACATGCTACTTAAACCCCTTCAAAAGCTTTCAGTAATTCTCTACCACTCTGAACAAAACTCATCACTTCTTTGGTCTTATTTCTCTTCTGCTATCAGAGGCCACACCAGCTGAAAAAGAGCAAACGCTGCACTGAGAGCCAATTCGCCTGTCTGCACCATCTACCAACGGTGTGACCTCACAGAAGTGATGCCACTTCTCTGGGACTCAGTTTCCCCATCTTTGAACGCGGTGGGAGTGGAGAACAGTCGATTTCTCCGATGCCCTCCAGCCCTGGCAGTCGGGGACCGCCACCCGTCTTTTCCGTTCTTCTACGACCTACCCCAGCCCCTCTCTTCGGAGGCCCTTGCTTACATCCAGGCCGCGGGGGTCGCCTGGACTCCCCTTTCCGAGTCACCAGCACCCAAAAACGTAAGTCCTAACTCCCGGGAATTCCTGATATTCTGAGGACGTCTCTCTCCCGGACAGGGTAGTGAGGAGACCCGGCCGGCCCGAGCGGGGCGGAGAGAAGCTCGACCTGGCGGCAGGCGTGCCGGCGGCGGGTGTGTCCGGCGCCGCCGAGGACTCCCCGGGGCGAGCTCAAGTCCCAGCGCCTCCCCCAAGCAGGCCCGCCCGCCCCGGCGCGCCGCACCTGCTCCAGGGTGAGGAGAAGGAACTCCTGGGACAGCAGCTCCGGGTGCAGCAGCAGCTCCGAATCGGTGCAGCTGCGACCGCCCACATACCCCGCCATCATCGTCGCCAGGAGACCCCGGCCGGCTACCCACAAGGCCCCGCGAGGAAGCGTCCCGGAAGTGACGTCCAGGCCGGCGCGGCGGCCTCGGGTGTGCCGTCACTCTGGGTGGGCCGCTCGTCCGGTTCCGCCTCTCAGGGTCGGCTGGGGTGCCGAATGGGGTCTCGCCGGGGAATACCCCCGGGGGCTAAAGAAGTGAAAGGTCTTTCTGCCGAGGAAACGATTGGCGTTTCCAGTCTGGCGGGAAGAGAAGGAAAGGCGAAGTTCACGGAGCGGCCCACCATTGGCGCCCGGTCGCGCCTCCTGTGACGTCAGGGGCAGAGACCAATGGGAGCCCCAGGACGGCCTCTCGGGAAGACGGCGCGGGAGAGACGTTATCCCAAATATGGCGTGGGAAGCGTCTCGGGTTTCTTTTTTTAACCGTTTTATTGTTTCTTAATCTTCCTTCAATATGATGTAAGGCCAGAGGGTTTAATTACCTGAAACCGCACCGCCTGGCACATAGTAGGCACTCAAGTATTTATTCCCTGAAATAATACTCGGAATGAAACTGCTCAAACATGAAAATAACGGCTGAGAAGCGCCGGGGACACGGCCGCACTTTTGTTTAGCTTCCGCAGCTGTGAAATGGGAATGATAACGCCACCTCACAGTGTTGTGAGGTTGGAGCCAAAGCAGGGAAAGTCCCTTGCCTGTTACCTCTATCTACCCGGACGTTTGTTGTAGCCTGTTGACTGTCATCAGGGGAGAGAGGTGGCAGGACGGTGGTGTAGGTGGGGGGAAAAGAATTTGTAAGAGCCTGAAAATGGGGTTACCGGTTCTTGCTGTGTTCTTTCTCCCTGTGGTTTTCAGGACTTAACCTGAAGCCTCAAGCTCTTCATCAGCAAAAATGTTTTATGGCAGGTGAGATCTGTGCGGTTTTTCTCTCCCGGTATTTTCCAGTTTAAAGCTAAAAGTACTTCCCTGCTTAAAACTAAATCCATTAAGATAACTCATGGTGCCTCTGAAACAAACATCTCAGGATAGAGGGAGCGTCCCTTGGGCAGAAGAAAAAAATCAAGAGTCAGAGAGGAGGGAGTAGAATTCGGTTCTAACACCCCTCCGTGCTCCAGGGAAGGAGAGACTATGTCTTTGGTAACGCCTGCCCCGGCTCCATCCTGGGCAAAGGCTTAAAGAGTGGAGCCTACGAGAACATGTGGTCTGCTGTGTTTTAATCAGAGTTTCTGATGGAAATAGGGCAGGGAGAATTTGCGTTTCTAACGAGTTCTAAGGTGATGTTTCAAATGTGTCCAGGCAGAAAGGCCACCTCACAGAGACTCCTGTCACATCGAAATAAGGAAGCTACAGGTATCCCGACCTTCAAGCCAGGCATTTACCGTGATTGGAAGGGCCAGGCCTGTCAGCACCAAAACCAAAAGACTGAAAACCAAACCCCAGAGTGGCCCAAGAGCATGTCAGAATCCGTGTGGGGACCAGGGATGCGAGGACCTGACCTCTCCCACTTCTCCTCACCCCTGGCACTTCACAAATTCCCTAACCAGACACAGTCCTGAGGAAGGGGGCTGGCCTCCGCTGATAAGATTATTGTCACTGCAGCTGAGTGGGGGCTTAAAGTAGAAATAAAGCTCAGTTACAGAAAAAATTCCATTTGTTGCATATTTAAGTTTGTAGACTGAAGTTTATTTCTGCTACAGTATTATCTGTGAGTATTATATAGTAACCATAAATGCTTAAGTTTTATTATGAGAATTTTCCCTTCACTCAAAGATCATGAGGTTTTCATTAACATTTTTATTTGGTGCCTGTAGTCGACAAGAACAGAGCTGAGGGAAACCAGCAAACACTGCCCTGCCTGGCATCATCACCTCATTGGGCTATGAGCTCCCCTGGGGCAGGGTGCATATGTGTCCTTGGAATCTCCGCCCGGTCCCTAGCACGCACAGCGCTTGTACTTAAGTACTCAGTAAGTGTCTACTGAATGAATGAATCGTGAACAAGATATAAACTGAGAACCTGGGGTGTTGATTCCTCTTGTTGGCAGTGTAATATTTAAGAGACTTACAAATATTTTATCAGATGTATTGTCAACTATATCTGAGCATCCATAAAATGCTTCAAAGTGAATATAACAAAAAACAGTTCATGTTTTGGACCCATGTTTTTAGCTATTTAGAACCACAGTTCTGCTATGTGTAAGTGAGGATGTTAAGTTTTGGGAGTAGATAGCAACTATTAGAGTATTCGGTTGTACCTATTCAATGCTTAATCTATTAGACCATTTTTTTCAAACTCTATAAAATACTCTAACGTGTGTAGTATGAGCCCAAGGGATATTTAGTAAATATAATAAATGAAGTTAATTAATAATTCCTTTGAAAATAAGACTTTGATAATTCATAAATATGACCAATCAAAACAACATGAGAAATATTGAATTAGCCTGATGCAGATCTTTGCACATTTATGGAATAGTTACTTACATACCGCTGGCGGACATATGTGAAATAGACTTCTCAGAAAGTTCAGGAAGAACAAATGTTTCTAGATGGAATAATGAGCACATGTGGAGTTTGCCATTTTAAGAATCTTATGGCAAATCCTTTCAAAAAGGAAATAATTATTTCTGAATTACCTCCTTTTACTCCCCTTTTTCGTTAACACGTTTGCACTCCCAGATTGTTTAAAGCAGAACACAAATATTCCATAAACCATTCAACCAACAAAACTTAATTTTATGTATAAAAAATTTTATGGTGTTATTGAGTTCTGGGTTCTTATCCTTGCTCTTTTCTTCCATGGAATTTGGGAGAAGCCTTTCACTTCTCTTTGCGTCTGTGAATTCGCGTGTACAATGCAGAAATCAGTAGTGCCTACTTCCTAAGGGTATGGCGAGGCTTAGATGAGATCACCGCAGTAAGCCCCTTAGCCCAATGTCCAGCTGGCAGTCAGTAGGTGTCACCTCTGCACCTAATCTCATGCCAGGCCATGGTAGAGCGCTGAAATGAAAAAGCGCAGAGTGGATTCAAGCTCCCGCTGGGCCAGTGATGAGCTGATGACCAGTCACTTATTCTCCACAGGCCTGGGCAAAATGAGACGGCTGTAGTTACTCTGGTGTTCTCCAGCTCCCTGGCTGCACTAGACTCGGGAGTCCATTCATTGCCACTTGTCCTTGAAGCACACATAGCTGTACACTCTGGGAAACCCCTTCCCCACCTGGAGGCTGGGCCAGTGATACTGGATCCATTGGGTCAAGGGCTGAAGCACTGTCTGGGGCTGGGGCACATGTGTGGCCATGAACTCAGAAGGGAAGGGTGTAAAAGGCCATAGAAGATTAATTCCTGATGGTTCTTTATTTCCTTCATTTAAGTTTTTTTGGGGTGGGGTCATTTGTTTTTCTCCATTTGAAGCAGAGGACCACAGAGTAGAATCTGGTATGACTCCTGGTTCTGGAGGACGGTTTTATTCTGTAATCCCCAGGGGCTGGAGGAAAGCTGGGACCTCTAAAGTCAGGGAAAATCATTGAGAAAATTGGGCTTTTTATAATTTATGCTGATAGTTGAGCACTGACAGCTCTGGAGGGAGTTTTCTAAGTTTTTCATCGTGAAACTGGATTTTGACTATATATTGAAGAGAGGCGCATGGATTGTTCGTAACCTAGGAGTCTTCACTGTGGCTTGACCCAAAGGAATAGCTATTGATGGAATTTCCTTAAGGAGTGGGTAAACTAGCCCCAGGACTCCCTGCTTCAATACGGACACCTTGGAATACACTGCCCCTGGGGCTCGTGGCTAGCGGTGGGCCGGAGGCGGGCGGCTCATGCCCGGCACTACATTTCGGTTCCAGGGGGGCCACCAGCAGCCGTCCACTCCTACAGCCCGACTTCGTCAGGTGGCAGCGCCGTCCAGCCCTTCCCAGGAGTGATGGATGGGTGGATGGATTCATTCATTCCTTCAGCAGGTGCACTGCCCAGCGCCGTCGCGGTGCTAGAAGCAGGGCGGCGAGCGAGTCCGGCAGGCCGCGGGGGAGGAGAAAGCGCGGCCCCGACAGCTGCAGCCTCGCCGCGTTACCGACCCCGCCCCGCGCCCGGTAGGCTCCGCTCGAGCGCCCGCGGGGATCGGCGCGTCTCTCCCCGGACCCCCGAGGCAGGCGCGCCGGGAACCCTGCAGACCCCCGGCACCTGAGGCCGGAGGGGCGTTCCCCTCCCCGTAGCCCGGCCCGGGGCGGGGTCTGCAGGCGACGCGGGGCAGCAGGCCGGACGGGGCCTGGCGCTCCCGCCCTCGGCCGTCCACGTGACGGGAAGCGGCGGGGCCGGGCTGGAGCCGGGGCCGGGGCCAGGGCCCAGGAGCGCGCAGCCCGGGGCGCGGGGCCCGGAGCAGCCGGAGCGCGGGCCGGTGAGCGCGGGGCGCGCAGGGAGCGCGGGGAGGGTGGGGCTGGGGTCGGCAGGGGCTGGTGGGCGGCGGCCTGCGGGCAGGTGCGCGGACAGGTGCGCGCAGGCAGGTGCGCGGGTGGTGGGCGCGCGGCGCCGGGAGGGGGCGGCTGTGCGGCTGCGCGCTTTCGGGGCAGGGAAGACCCGAGACTTGGTCCGGCTTTGGGTGGGCTTTCGCTGTTCTGGAGGGAGGAGCCCGGCGGGACGACACCCCGTGCCCCTCGCCCGTCTCCCCTCCACCCTTGCGTGCGATGGTTTTGTCGCTGTGCTTGACGTTTCCTGGAGCTCGTGGGATTTGAGGGTGCAGATTCCGGGCCACATTCGGGCCTGTTTGGCCTGTACTGGGAGACGGGGCAGGGGTGCGATGGGAGGAGGGGAGATCTCGCCCCTGTTCTCCCCTGGGACGGAGGTACGGGTGGAAGGAAGTTGAGTTCTCCGCTTCTCGTCTCCTGTGTTTTAAGGGGTGGCTTTCAAGACACAAGCTCCCGCCTGCGGTTGCCCGCACCTGCCATTGCTTCCGCCACGGGCTGCTGGGTGACCATCACCCCCCAGGCCCTACCTGGCCGCTGGAAATGGGGGTTCACACAGCGCCTCTTAATGCACACGGACTGTACTGGGTGCTGGGGTCCCAACCTGTC